GTTTCTGTCATTGATGATCAAAATGACCGCATTTTTGATACTCATAGAATTGTAACGAACTCAATCCCTATTGATTCTGGAAGTCCTATTTCAAAAACTCTTTCACAGATTAAAATGATACGGCATTAAAAGATCGCTATCAATTTAAATAGGCTATTTTTCAAGCAATACACTCTGATCAGTCAATCTTTCGACATCCGGAAAATTTTTACTTATTTACAGCTCAAGTGGTAAACCAGAGAATAACACGCCACTTCAGAAAATTTTAGATGGGCGAAAAAAACAGAACGAGTCACACAATGAGAACGGAACAATTAAAGCGGGACTACGACAATTTGCCCTGCGACAAGTGCCACCCCGACAATTTGCGCATGCCTCACCACTGAGCAGCATATTGCTTTTTGTCGGAGTTTTGGCGTAGATGGATTTGTCGGTCATCTGTTAGACGAGCTTCAATATTTTTTTGCTGCTCTTAATCGAACTCTGTTTGTGTGAACATTACCCGCATCAATTAGTTCGTCAATAGTTGTGCATGACCTTTTACCTCGATTTCTCGCCACAGCCCATTTCTCCTTGACGTGAACAGCGAGATTACCGATTAGTTCTCCTCCGAGTGCTGAGGGGTGGTTTATGGAGCGTGCTTTTAGCGTGCTCATTCAATAAGGAATGTTCGCTTATTTGTAATTGGTCGTAAAGTGATTCTGTTTTCGCGTTGTTTTGAATTTGTTATGGTCACTTCTGAAAATTCGAACGTTTCGTTGAGTGATTACGATTTTTAGTGGTTCGTGAGTATGTCAGTTGCAAGTCGATTGCGTCGTATGCGCAAACAACCACCTGAAGGTTGGGATCTCATCGAGCCTACTTTGGATGAATTCGAAGCGAAAATGCGTGAAGCAGAAACAGATCCGCATGAGGGTAAGCGTCGCACCGAAACATTGTGGCCGATATTCAAAGTGAGTTTCTAGTAACACAGCTGTGAGGCATCTACTCCACGTACTGATCTGATTTTCCTGTTATACCCTCTCAGTGTTACGTATTGATTGGTTCTTAGTGGTGCAAATCAATTTTGTTGAAAATTTTTGAACTTTTAGATTCATCACCAGCGTTCAAGATATATTTATGACTTATATTATAAACGAGAGGTGATCAGTAAAGAACTGTATCAGTTTTGTCTGGATACGAAACTTGCTGATGCCAAACTGATTGCGAAATGGAAGAAACAAGGCTATGAGAACCTCTGCTGTCTTCGATGCATACAAACCAGAGACACAAACTTCGGCACAAATTGCATTTGCAGGGTCCCAAAAAGCAAGTTGGATGCTGTAAGTACCACACTATTTGCCGTTTTTGGCACATTTGGAATTGATTTTGAACTGACTTTTGTGATGTTTCATTTGTACATTGTTGATCAGCAGTGGAGACTGGGAGCAGTTCAGATTTCACTGAATATGATGATTATTCTCGAAATGGAAAATTGAACAATGTCTCAATGAGGAGTTCTGAGAAGAAACTGTTAATTCCTGTTGGAATTATAGTTCGGATTCAATTGAAACTGATCCTTCGAATAATTTCAGGGCCGAGTAATTGAATGTGTGCATTGTGGGTGTCGTGGCTGCTCAGGATGAACGTCACTGACTGAGTTTGTTTTATTTTTAATCCACGGTTTTCGTATTCGTTATATTGTATAGTTTTGTATGCTCATTGTCGAACGTTGTATGTGGATGAAAATTATTTCTCTTCAAAGGTACATCATATGTGAATGCCATGTAAATCTATGTCGTTTCATATTTGAGTACCATCACCTGAGTATTGCTTACCATTTTCTCATTGTTATTTGATGGTTGTTTGTTGCATTATATGAAGTGAAATGAGCTATTTCAAAATAGGGCGTCCAAATGTTGTACATTTCCCGCTCTCTTTGCTACAAACTTGTTTTCATTAAATGTTCTTTCCAATCATCCTTTATGATTCTCACGCAGAACGCATATAATTTCTGAGATGCATGGCTTCGTCGCCCTTCGTCAACATCCTAAATTCAAATCATTACCAGTCAATTCCTCACAACAGTTTTTCTCAAATTTGTACTTCTCATTTATCTTCAGTTACCATCTTTTCAATTATTTAAGTTCGACGACCTGTTTCGTTTCGTTTCGTTTTTCATTTATCGTTATCGACTTGTTGGATCATCATCACATTATCAAGTAATAAATATCCGTTTAGATTTGCTATTAGTTGACAGTGGATGACAGATGAGAGTGAGTAATAGAACTTTTATTTTTATTTTAGTTTGCTATGTTGAATTGGAAGTGGTTGATGAGATTTTTGAAAATTCGACGCAGTATTTAATGAAAAGAGTGTTCATTCTAGCAAGGAGTTATCGCTGTTGTGCATCATGTCATAGTACCTATCATCCTCTTCCTTAAAATTAACACTTTGGAGCCCCCTCTAAAAAGAAAAATTCCCTTATAAGCAAATATGCGTACTCTTTATATAAAAATATACATATTATATTACATAACAATGGTGATAACCGAAAATTACGCAACCGTAAATTTCAATTTGAAGAGGCAGATAGTAGATCTCTGGCTGGTCACACTCAAGTTGTTGTGGTAAAAAATTTGAACGCAATGGAATTCACTTTAGATGCTGCGTATAACAACGGAATGATTTGCTGATGTTTGCTGAGAATCGCTTTGAATTGCAACCTCAGTGAGTAATTTGTGCTGAATTTTTCAATTATATCGACAATTATTCGTTGAATGAACGACGAGGACGCGACTGGTAGTACAATCAAACCATTCAAATAGTTTGTCACCATATCATCCAGTAGTGACGTTTCGAAGTTCCTCATCAACAACTGAAAAAAAGAAACGGTCTACACGTACATATCTGCATGACCGCATCGTTGCGATTCAACCACGTTTTCAATATTGCTCGGATCCACTTAGCTATTGTGAGCAAAGCAAATGCGTTTCGAATCAAACAAGTGAAAATATGTTGTAAACAGCAACATAAACCAACTTACGATATTTTGTATATAGAGTTTGGAGAGTCTTACAAAAAGTGATTGATTAAATTTGCATTCGGATGGAGGTTTATAGATGAACCGAGAAACGTTAAGGAAAAGATATGAAGCAATACGACAACTTTGGGCACACATTTCAACACTGGATTTATAAAGGATTCTTTGCAGAATGCCAATTATCGGCTCAAACCATCGTAAAATCGAATTTCGACTCCACTGTTCGTGAACAATCGAAATGGTGTTCAGTGACTGAAAATGATAGCAAGTTGTGATCAAAGTGAATCTACAAAATCCTTTCTGGTTGTTAAGAGTTAACCGTTTCTCCGTTTCATGAAAAATCCTTTTGGTGCGCATTCCTTTTGTTCCAAAACTTTCTTTCGCATCCTATCACTGATACACATCTTTACGAAAATCCAAGCCTTACACTAGATCAAAATCTGATGAAATACCTTGGCATACAGCGAAAGTTTTTGATGTGGATTTACGGTAAACGTCGAATTTTTTGCCACAACAAAATGTTGAATTAGTATTCTAAACTGATTGATTGATTCACCTCAAAGATCCATTTCGCAATCGTCGCACTGCTTAAATCGTTCGAATCAAACACCTTACATTCAAGGTTCTTATCAGTCAAAAAACGTCGAAAACCATGGCAAATGAACCGAGAAATACGCATCACATCTGCAATCTATTCACACAGTATTAAAAGGAATTAAAGTGAAACTCTCACTTGATTCATATGCATAACGATGAAACTGAGTAGAAATCAATGTCAAATTTGTATATTGCACGTTAATCATTGTGATCATGTGATCACAACGGATCACCAAGATTACATTCTTTGCAAAAAATTAGACAAGAACTACCATCTGACCTTCACTGTCGGGCTGACTCATCACAACAGCAAGCCATACAGGTAAGAAGTTATCAACTGGAAAATATAATTCCGAGTCGAAATATTCAAAGAACTCAGTCATGAACTGTAACGCTAAGTCAGTTGATTCAAGTCGTTCACTGAGAAGCGCATTCGAGATCGAAACCATTCCTTGTGACGCTAGTATTGCATTATCTTTACAACGAAAACGCATCTGGAACGTGAAGCGTTAACGAAGTATGTGCCGAAAGGTGTCTGCGTTGAGATTCATGTCGACGTGAATATCACACAAACGACTATTAATAATAACGGAATAATTTTATTATGAACTCAATGAAACAATTCCCATCTCTAGCGAAATTATATAATATTGACTCACAATAATCACGGAGATGAACTGTTTAGCGTAATATAAGTCATCAAGACGTGGAATTGCAAACAATCTTATGTTCATTTGAACGATGGAAAAAGATTGAAGTCTGAACCTGACTGGTCAGGAATGTAATTGAATGGTTGCAGTCTGAAGTGTATAGTCTATCGAAGGCGATATTCCATACGCAAATCGGCGAATTTCTGCATTGTTGAGCGCTTGCATCAAGAATGTGAGCAATATCTGCACTGGTCATATGTGGCAAAAAACGACGTAATGAATTCACCTGAAATATTTTGAAAATAATGAAACGGATTGCATTCGGTGTGTCAGAGTGAAAATAGAAACACAAATCGGCAATGATGTTCAATGAAATTCAGAGATGAACAAAATAAAATGAGTGTCACACAATCACTACCTCGATGCCTTCTTCGACTAAATAAAGATAACTTTCTGCATAAATTCCAGCAGCATTCGTTTCGTTCAGTTTATCGATCACTGAAAAATTTTAATACTCAACGAGGTTTGCATTGCCCCATCATTTCAAGAACAATTTGCAAATTGAAGTCATGATTTGTGGTTTTTTTATCACTGAAAACACCAACCTTTTATCTTATAACAAATGAATAAACGATAGAATGATAACTCACAACAACTTAAACTCTTATAGACTTTTGTGGCATCTGAGTTGCTTTCACGATACATTTGAATGAGACAGTGAAGAGCTGTTAAGAGAACTTCTTGACGATTCAGATTGGACGATTCAAATGCACTCATTATCAGCGATAACATCTTATCGCAAACCTCATTCATATCTTCAATATTAATTCACGCTAAAAAGTTAATGTTCAAAGAGAAATTATACAAATAATAGTCAACTGAAACTATTTCTTTGAATATTACAAATGATATATACATCGTGGATTTGTCTCGGCATGTTCGGTTGCTATTTATCGATGGCACTGTCAAAATATCATCGATTCAACATCACTAATAGTGAATGAATGTCAATGTTTTCAAACAGTGAATAGATCATAACTGGAAAATGCAAATAAAATGAAACAGACCTATTGAGTACGCAAAACACAGGAATAAGGTGAGCATTTCAAACAGAGATGAAACTGGCATTTCACGCAATTTTTTCGGTGTAAACTTTGAGAAAATACGCGGTTTGATCGATCGCCAGACTGATTCGCATCCTGAAAATGATTAGGATCGTAGCCATCGAGTGGTTTCGAAATTGCCAAAAAGTCTGAAAGGGACTAACTCGAACAAACTGAACAAGCGATACGAATGAATACGCTCCAGCTGTCCACATCATCCCTCAAACGATCAACACCTTCGCAATATTCTTTCACAATACTCATCCACGCCTTACCATTCCCTCGACCAATTTCACAAGTCTAAATTATCGATAATACTGAACAGAGAATATCTTATTCAAACGTATTATATGATATGTTGATTATTCATTGCTGAGGATTATTCATTCATTNGAAAGTAAAGCGTCGAAAATACCAGTGAATTATCAATAATATGCAGAGGCAGTTCGAATAAAATTAAAAACAAATGAATCGAATTGCGTTATGGATTACAGACATGAGTAACTGATGAAGGCTGCAAAAAAGTTGGCGTGAGCAGATTGAAATAGTGTTGCAAAACTGATTCTGCACCCCACAATTCTTCCGCATTTATCTCTTTGAAGAATGGAAGTAATCGTCTGCAAATATCATTTTATCTGATATTGAAAATCTACTTCTTTGTTACGCAATGGCAGATAAGAACGACAACGAATTAAGATAATCGTAATCGTAACAATAACAATAGAAAGCATCAGGATAATAATGAAACGAAAAACCCAATGAAGTCAATATACACAAATTGACAAAGTTCTTAATATCGAGTCTGCTAAAAAGTGAAAACATATCAAGTGACGTGGATAATAGTAAAAATACAAAATTCTTACAATAAAGCGTCGTGGTGATTGTCTATTCTGAGCAGGATTTGTCGTAAACACTCCATACGACCATTAACACTTGTTTTACCTTCAAAAGCTGCTTTGAAATTTTCAAACAATTCTTAAGAATCTCCAGTATTCATTCTGTTACACTCATAGTTTTACCAATCTATAAACTGATTCTGGATCGTTCAATTGTCAATTTCAATCAAACTATTTCAAAATCAGACACAGGCCAGAAACGGTCAACTTAGATTAATTTTAATCCTATCCTATTTTTCATGGTAACATTTTCTAGTTTTTTTTCGTCATTTCAGGGTTTACAGGTTTCTTGCAAGGTGTTTTATAAGTGGCACTGTAAGGCAAATAGCTGAAAGAGGGTACGATTGCAAAATAACAATAATTACAAAAGTAACTTTAAAACTAGCAATGATGGTATCCATAATAATAATAAAAACATTAGTGCTATATTATAAAACAGAAAAATACAGAGGATACTAACCACTGGTCGATTGTGTATTGACATGTCGAAATTTGAAAGAGCAAAAAACTTTGAGGAATGCGTTTGGAGTAATCGTATTATAGGCATTACATAATTCCAAAAACATCACTGAAATCAATAGTTACAATCAACTGGAAACGAGTAAATTCAACTCTGAATTCGGTGTTTCATCGATGAGTGATATTCCAACGAATAGTTGCATATAATTAATACATTTCTTCACTCAAATTTCAGTTTTCCCACATCAAACAATGCACATCCTCGTCGTAATATCACCTGATTCAAAACTAATTCATTTGTTTGCTTTCACCGATTAACGTCACGTTCAAATAAGAGAACACTTTTCGTAATCATGAACTGCGAGGCGCTCAACTATGATACAGCCTAGCCGAATGTTATTCTCAATTTGACGTGATATTCACTTATTCATTGATTCAGAAGCTTTAATAAACAAACCGCTTGTTGGCATCGACGGATACTGCAGCAGATTGCGAGTAAAACAAATTCGAATGAGTTCAGCGAACATCGACCAAAAATCACAATCACCCATTAAAGTATAAATCTGTTGCCAACTTAGATCTGCACATCTGCACATAAATGCTCTTTCCTGGAAACACTCCTTCATACTCATCAACAAATTTTCTTCGTTTTGCAAATCTCAATGGAACGTAGAATTTAAGCAGCACAACTCTTGATGGCACGCTCACTTGAAACGCGACATCTCTCGAATGATATGGCACAGTGGGGATATAATTAATTACCGTGATTTCAGAGATTGTCATGAGACCATACGCAATAAGCAGTGCGAGCTGTTGACTGGCATTTGCATTCCCCATTGGATAAAACAATTCGACATCGACAACGGAATCTGAAAAAAAATATTCTAGAGATTGAAAAATAAAATTCATCATAAGACATCGCGCGAAGCAATCTTGGAACTGGTATCGGCAATTTCCACTCGGCTCAGTAAATTTCTAAAGATGGTGTTCGGGTGAGAGTATTAGATGTTCGAAAGGAAAGTCAATAACAAACAGACAAAAACATTAATAAAATGAACGAAATGCGATGAGCATTCGATGGAACACTATTCAGACTATCGAATCAACGAAAAAAAAAGAAACTATTTGGACCTTTAGCGAGTTGGAAAATTCGAAATACCGTTGTCCAAACGAGTAGAAGCGCATGAGCATGATAATTCTGAAGTGTAAATATTCACGAAATGAATCTTCCATGCAGAGTGATCATATGAAAGAACACAAACAAAGAAAAGCATTATTGAATAAAAGTGTTAGTATTTGAAAGGTTACGTTTTCGATACTCCTCGTTGTTAATGCTGCAGTGTTGAGGGCATATTGTCGAATTGTACCAACGGCTACTAGAAACGATCGAAAATGTTTCAACAACTCGTTCACTGTTTGTGAATTACCCGCCAGTTGGAGATTCTGAAATTCGAATAATCAGAACTTGAATCAATTCGCATTTAGCCAGTAACATTCAGAAGATCAACTCATTAGAATCAAGGTCAGATCAACATTTCGCCGGTTTATTTGATCATATGAAGTTACGCAAAGGGATGAGTTCCACTTCGTTTCGATGAGAACCAATAGAGTGAAAGATGAATGTAAAAAGCAACTATAAATGAGAATCGTCACAGAAATTTTGCAATGGCATCTTTCGAAATCACATCTTCCGGTCTATGCAAATGGACTGCATGTTTTTTTTGTCGCATTTAAAAATAAGCTGTTAAACGACAAATAAGCTAAATGAGAACCTGTGTTGCCATTGCGATATATCCCAGTGAACGATCAAACTCAATCATCAACGTTTCGTTACCATCCGAAACAATTCGTTTGTATAATTGCTGCATGCACCCAAACGACATTTCACATCCTTCTTCGTCGTTCAGCTCAATTCACGTATCATTTAGAATTTTATTTGAAGTTATCACATTCAAATATTCAATGCATCTGTCATTCTTTACAAGGCGATTTACAGCAGTGACACTTCAAATTTCGGTAAGCGCTCCCACCCGCTTAAGACTGCTACTTAGAGTATTGACTTATATGATAGAACCAGCAAATCATTATTCTCAATCTAACGATTGAAAGTTATCATATTCAATTATTGTCTTTTTTCAGCAATGTTTGTGAACATTAACATCAACCGAATTTTGATCGTTTGACAATGTTAATGATTTCAAGTTAGATTTAAATAAAACTGGTGGAATATACAAAGTGGTACCAGATGCAATGATAAACGAAATGCGTTAAGTTTAATGGCTGAAGGAAGATTGTATTGTATTGACGGTAATGAGTAGTAATCGTAATTGTAAGCATTCACTCGATTTGCACAACTCCATTCATGACATCTCCATTCGGGCAATTCACTTTCTGACGCAAATACATCCAATTGAGTGTCCTTTAACATCGGCATCTTGTTCTGTTCCACTGATCCTTTTTAATGCAATCTCATCATTATCTTTATTCAACATTTCGGACTCACTGAGCGGAACCGTTGGGTCTATCGATATAGTGGCTGAATCGAACCCGAAATTCAAGTCCCTAGAGCATAAATTTTAGAAACAACAAGGCGTTTTTGTGTCGAGGAAGATTACGCAAATTTGCACTAGACTGCTGAATGCACTGTTGTGGGCAATGCTAATGTCCAGTACATTCACAAGCTGAATCCCGAATTCCATTATAAATAATATCGGCTTAAGACTCAAATAAAACAATGGCATTTCACTTCAAGTTAACTCAAAGCAAAAAAATTAACATTGAATAAATTGCAAATTTCAATTCAAAATATTTCCCGCCG